AGGAGGCTCAGGGGGGCCCTTCTGGCTCTGCACAACTCCTGACAGGAGGGGACAGCCAGGGGAGGGTTGGGCTCTGCTCCCAGGGATCACAGACAGGACAAGAGGAAATGGCACCAGGTTGTGTCAGGGGAGTTTCAGGTGGGAAATCAGGAGGAATTTCTCCATGGAAATGGTTGTTAAACATTGGAGTGGTCAGCCCAGCGCAGCGGTGTGGTCACTGTCCCTGGAGGTGTTCAAGAAATGACAGGACCCTGCACTCAGTGATGGGTCAAAGGTTGGACTGGATGATCTCAGAGGTCTTGTCCAGCCTCAGTGATCCTGTGATCCTGTGAAAGCCCCAGTTCAACTCTGTGGGGATAAGGATCTGCTGGAGACAGGACACATCTGAGATTCCCTCCCCAGCACATCCAGGGTTTGTTTGCCCTCGCTGGGGGCAGTGCTGGGGGGACACACTGGACACATCCACATCATGTGGGGGATTTCCTTCTTGTGGAAGCAGCAGCAAGGAGAGCCAGGAAGGCTCTGTACCTTGTGCTGGTCCTGCCTCATCCTGGTCATGCTGTGGGACCTGGGAATGCCCAAACTCCCTGTCAGCAATGGACCTGCCAACCCAGCAGACCCAGCAAGAGCTGGGTGGGAACTGAGCCTCAAAGGTCTTTGCTGGTGGAACCCCACATGCTGCCCTCCATGTGTTTAGGATTTGGTTGTGCCTCTCCAAAGCTGTACCTGCAGTTGGGGTGAGCACCAAGGTCCCTCCAACCCATGGACCCATTTGGCAGTGGCTTTGCAACACTGCTGGAGAGACTCCATTTCTGGGGCGAACTGAGCTGTCAGAGACAAGGGTGTGGCTCATGCTGAGGCTTCTGCCATGACTGCACTGCTCTAGGTGCTCAGTTCAGCCTCCTTAACCCTCCCCTGGCTTTGTCTGTGTAAATCGTGGTCACCACTGCCCCTCCTGTGGGACCTCAGGTGTTGCTCACACCAGGACAAAGTTCCTGAGGCTGGAGGGCTTTGGGAACTGCTGGCCACTCTCAGCTCACAGTGGCAGTAGGGTGACAAATGTTTCTAAGGCTCCACAGCACCTGGGTTGAGGTATCACCCTGACACAGAGGGGTTTGCAGGCACAGATCCTCCCATTACTGCATCCCAGTGTGGATCTGAGCAAAGGGATTCCCAAAGGAATTCCCATCCTTGAAAGCTGTGCCAGCCCCTGACACATGAGGCAAGGAAATGCTGCAGCCAGGAGCAAACCCACTGCCCTCCAAGCGCCTCCTGGAGAGGCCCCACTGGCTCAGTGCTCCTTGCCCTGGCAGTGAGAAGGGGCTCACTGGGGACAGTGATGCTGCAAATGAGGCAGCCCACAAGGGGAATTAACAGAAAAAAATGTCATTTGTAATAATGGGTGAATTGGAGAGTTTAATCCAAAGTGTTAGAAACAAGGAATTATGGAATTATTAAATTAGAAAAGCCCTCTAAGATCAAAGAGTCCAATCATTAACCCAACACTGCCACATTCACCCTAGCCCATGTCCTCAAGAGCCACATCCACAAGTTGTTAAACACTACTGGGGCTGGGGGCTCCACCACTGCCCTGGGTAGCCTGTTCCAAACTGACTGATCCAGAATCCAGATCCATCATTTCTCTTACTCTAATATTTCAACATCAGTCTCACAAGACTGGGAAGAAAACACAGAAGTGAAAAGTTTGACACTTCCAGGAAGACACAAAACAAGACAAAAGCAGGAAGTCGGGGATAGCAGCTTTTAGGAGCTGTGGGTGGGAGAGGACACGTTTAGTGTCACCATCTGAGGCAGTGCCTTAGATCAGGGCACTGCAGTGTCTCAGGTACAGGTGCTGCAGAGCAACACCCTGGAAATGGATTTCCCACTGCACCTTTTTAACTCCAGGGGGACTGGGAGGCAGCTACTCCCCTGAATATTACACTGGGTCACTTCCCTGGAGTATCTGAGCTTGCCTGTGCACCTCAAAGGACTTTGCCACTTTTCAGACACATTCACAGCACCAGCTCCAGCTGGAAATAAGTCCAGCAGCTTTGCCTTCAAAAATAGATTTGCTTTATCTTTTGTTTCACATCTTACAACCCAGGAATTACAAACAGGAAACATTTTTTAGGAAGCCCAGAACCTGCACAGACTTCAAACAGGTCTGTAGACAAAAGCTGAAGTTATCCCAAGCTGGAGGCTGGTGGCGGATGTGTGGAACCTTTAATACTGTCTGGAAAAAGCAGAATGGAGGAGGCTGCTCAGTGTGGTTGGGGAGTCTGGAGTCTGTTGAGCTCCTTAAGCACATTTAGGTTTGAGGTTTTGTGTTCCAAAGTGCCAGTGGCTCCTGGGACTGCTTGCAGTCATCTCCCTGTGCACTCATCTCCCTGCTCCATCCAGCTCCAGTGGCAGAGATAGGGATCCAGGGGGGCTGATTCATCCTGACCTGACAGATCTCCCAGGTGGAGCAGATGAATCACTGCCCCTACCTCTGCCTTTGTTGGCCAGGGGAGGAGTCAGACAACTTGTCAGAACTAAATGGCTGATTCTCAGACAGACTCAGGTAAGACAAAGTTTACTGTGAATCCTTCACAGGTCCCAGTTCTTTTTGCTGAAGTAACACAGATCCTGAAGACTTTTATCAAAAATATCTAGAATTAAAGACTTGCATGACACTTAAATTTGGAGAAATACCTTCCCTCCTCAGTAAGTGCACAAGAGTCTCTCAGAGAACAGACAGAGCTGCCTAAATCCCCAGAGTGCCTGAAGGGACTGAAGTGTTGTGTCTAATGGAGGTCCTGAACTTTATCACCTTCATCACCACCTTCCAGCTGTTCCCCAGAACACCAACACTGCTGACTGAGATCCCCAGCAGCCAGTGGCATGCCCACCTACCCAGCATTTGTCCAGCTGCCATAATGATTGGGAACAAGATCAGGAACTAACAACAGGAAACAATAACCCTCACACCAGCAGCAGCAGCTGCAGCAGCACCTTACCAGCATGAGCAGAGCCAGGCCTTGGCTTCCTCCATCTTTAACAAAAAACCCATCTGAAAACCCTTAGAATGGCTGAAATAGAGCAATTTTGCTTGGACAAAGCACAGCAAATTCCATTCAGGAATCGCAATAGGCAAACAGCAACATATCATCAAAACAAAACATCCCAATTGTTTGAGTCGTGAAGCTCAGATGCTCCAACTCTACCTCGGGAACTGCCTCAGTTGCACTTTTCTAGTGGCCACCAAAACCCTGCCTGGTTACCATGGCTGGACCCTCTGCAGGGCTCCACCACTGTCTTAGGGATAGAGAAAGGACACCTGGATGGAGGGACCTGTGCTCTGACCCATTACAGAGTCCCAGAATGCCAGAATGGTTTGGGTTGGAAGGACACTCAAAGCCCATCTCATTCCACCCTGCCATGGGCAGGGCACCTTCCACTGTCCCGGGCTGCTCCAAGTCCTGTCCAACCTGACTTTGGACACTTCCAGGCATGGGGCAGCCACAGCTGCTCTGGGCAACCTGTGCCCAGGCCTCACCTCTCACACAGGGAAGAATTTCTTCCATCCCTCTCAGGGAAGAAAATCCCATCTAACTCTGCCCTCTGGCAGTTTGAAGCCATTCCCCCTTGTCCTGTCACTCCATCCCTTGAAATAATCTCTTTTCATCTTTCCTGTAGCTCCTTCAAGTACTGCAAGGCCACAGTAGGGTCACCCCAAAGTTTCTCTTCTCCAAGCTGAACAACCCCAACTCTCCCAGTATTTGCTCACAGCAGACTTCTCCATCCCCCCAATCCACTTGGTGCCTCCTCTGAACAAACTTTTCCCAGCAGGGGACAGGAGCCTCTCTGGCTGGGATTTAACCAGCTCAGGAAGGGACACTGAAATGGGCCAACAGACAGGCTGGAAAGGAATATTTCAAAGACACTCCAGTGCTCCCAGTTTTCCTACTGAACACCCAATGATGCAAACTCAGCAAGTGACACCACTGCCTTGAAGCCATCATGTTACAATGCCATTAGGAAAGACTCAGGTAAATCCTTCTGAAGCTGAGGAATGCTGGTGCTCTGAACAAGCAGAGGATCTGGCAACCACCAGGAAAAGCTGCAGCCCTGTCTGTGTGTTTGGAGCCACCAAAACCTTTCCTGGTTCAAACCTTTGATGGCTGACATGGAGCTGCTTTACAGTCCCAGGGTTGTTGAAAGGAGTCCTTTGCTTTTCTCATATTCAAATCCCAGATCTGTGAATTGCTCCTTTCTGCTTTAGAGCTGATGAAAAGCAGGGAACAGCAGAACACAGGCCTGAAATGGAGGGGCAACATGAGCACAAGTTGTCCCAGTGGACTGTGGAATGGTTGGGAGCGATTCCCTGTGTACCAGGGCTCTGCCCCAAGGACCAGGAGCTCTGTGGGATGTCCAGACTCACACTGCACAAAGACAGGTACCATCTCATCTGTGTTTTTTCTGGAAATCTACAATGATTTTTTTGGAAATCACTGTGGAAGAACTGGACCCACTTTTTTTGCAAGCAAAGAGAATATCTCTGAAGGATCTGCAGTAGCACTGAGGCTGGAACAGCAGCACAGCAGTTCTAATGCAAATCCCCTGCTCCACATTCCCCAGCCACATTCATGTCATTCACAGCCATGTTTTGGTGCACAGGAACAAAGATGGGAATCCCTGGATGTGCTCCAGGCTTGAACTGAGCCGTGATAGCCTGAACCCAACCCTGATCCCTCAGGCAGCTTCCAAACTCTTGTGCCACTGGATACCAACACACAGAGGCAAACTAAATCTTGTTCACTCTAAAATGCCCACAAAAAGCAGCTTGGGGCCCTCAATCCTCCTCCTCCACTGCACTGAATCCCTTTCTAGGAGAGCCAGGATCCCTCTCAGGTGAGTTTCTGAAGCACTGTGACCTCCCTATGTGACTGTGAGATGTCATTCCTGTCCAGGGGACCTCAGACCATGCCACAATCCCAGATCAAGGAGGGTCTTACCGGGTATCCCCAGTTGCTGTTCCCTGTCTGGGTTTTGGTGTAGTAGCTGCCCCGGGATGTCCCGTAGCCATAGCCATCAGCTAAACCATCATACATGGAACCTGCAAATGGAAAAGGCATGGTCAGCATGAGAAAGCATTCCCAGGAGAAAGGATTCCCAGCAGGTCCCTTTCAGAGCACAAAGCTTTTATAACAGCAAGATTAGTTATGGAAAAGTGACAGTTATAAATCTCAACAGGAACATGGGGAGTACAGGCAGGAAGGGGAGCCCTTGTCACTGCTGGGAACTCCAGCCCTCACACCACAGACCCCCGAGGGCTCCCCAAGGTTTGCAGCACAAATGCCCAAGTGCCATAAAACCTAAAGCAAAGGAGCAGAAAAGGTCAGAGTTGGGGATGGTGTCTGACATCATGGAATCACAGAATCCCAGAATGGTTTGGGTTGGACCTCAAAGCTCATCCAGTTCCACCCTTGCCATGGCAGGGACACCTTCCACTGTCCCAGGTTGCTCCAAGTTCCATCCAACCTGGCCTTGGGCACCCCCAGGGATGGGACAGCCACAGCTGCTCTGGGCAACCTGGGCCAGGGCCTCACCACCCTCACAGCGAGGAATTATTTTCCAATATCCCATCTAACTCTCCCCTCTGACACTGGGAAGCCATTCCCCCTTGTTCTGTCCCTCCAGGCCCTTGTAAACAATCTCTCTCCATGTTTTCTGTCCGTTCCTTCAGGTACTGGAAGGGCACAATTAGGTCACCCCAAAGCTTCTCTTCTCTAGGGCTGAACAATCCTAGTTCCCTCAGTCTTTCCTCACAGGCAAGCAGTTCCTTTCCTCTGATCAACTTGGTGGTCTCCTAGTTGTAGTATGAGAGGAACCTGATGATATTTTGTGCTACATGTCCCAGAATGTCTGGCCATAGAAGACTTGCAGTAAACAGAATTTCTCTCTCTGAAGGCAAAACCTACCCCTGACCCTTTCACCAGTTCACTCCATGTCTGAATCCTACCAATCCCATCAGCACAAGCAGCCTGAGCAAGGCTTGCTAAAATCAATCAATGGTCACTAACAAACACCATGGATAAAGAATGACCCAGTCTATTTAACACCTGGGGATCTAAAACAATCAAACACTTCAAAACCTCATTGCACTCTTTGAATTCCAGTCTTGTCTCTAAAAGATCACTTTGTGTGTCTATACTTTCTTTTCCTGAAAAAAATAGAGCTCCATCATTAATTTTGGGATGCTAGAGGAATAAATGAGACTGGATCTCAGATATGTTTTTTAAAGATGCAAATATCTTGGATCAGGAGGAACCCATCAGCCATTTTTTCTGTTTCTCAGTGCTTTAACCAGAGTTTGGATTTACCTACCCCAGCCCTTCCAAGAGCTCTCCCAGCAGTCTCTGGCACTGCAACTTTTGGATCCCTCCTAAAAGTATTTTACTCAATGCCACATTCATCACTACAAGACAAATGAAGTGAATCATTCTCTTTCCACAATGGAATTCCCTTAGCCCCCTCTGGATGGTCCAAAAGAGTTTAGGGTGATTTCAGCTTCATTTTCAGAAGTGCTCAATAATTGTGGCATCTCAGGTCCCGTTATGAGGAAGTGCAAACCCTGCACTCCAATTAACTTCCAGGGGAAGCTCTGAATGTCTAACAAAGTACAAAATCAGGACTTACCTGTCCTAACTTATGCACCTAAACTGGTGGGTAATGTCAGAAATATCCTAATCTCTGTGATTGTTTGATAAGACTCATCTCCGAGATAAACTGGATAAGCTCGACCACAAAGGCCCCGGAGCCACTCAGGTCTCCTCCAGCCACTGATCCTTGGAATAAACTTTATTTATTGCCCTGCCTGAGGCACCCAGAACCTGTTATGGTGATTTGGTTTGTGGCTAAAAATTCTTGCATTTTCTCAGGAAGATGATTCCTGTGGATGTGGTGTAAATAATGAGATTTGCTTTCTATTGTCAGCAGGACTGCACCTGGAGAACATCCCTGGATGGAGAACAGGCAACAGCCACCTCGGCTCCCAGCCCTGCCCCTGTGCAGGAAACCACAGGAGTTCCTTTTCCATAATCTGGAGATTTGGTGGGCACTGCTGTTCACCCAGATATCCCCAGCCCCAAGTGCCTCGTGCACAAAAAGCTGCACAGCACTTGCTGATAAGACAAAGAAACGGCCAGGGAAATTCAATGGGAGATTCAGTCATGCCCTTCACCTTGTTCTCCCTCTCCACCCTGGGATTTCCTTTCAATTCCACATCAGGACATCAGTGTTGGGCCTCAGCAGCAGCAAGGCAGTGCTGGAAATGGTGAGTTTGGGCCAGGTGATTCCCCAGGACACAGAGTTATCTGATAACCATAATTCCGAACACAAAGGTAAAGCCATTCCATGATAAATTCCTGGGAACTCCTTCTTCAAATCTGCCTCTTGTTCTCTGTAAACATTTTGTAACTGCAGGTGAGAGCAGCTGGACCATTTTCCTGAGTGAGCAGCTGTAAAAAGGGGTTCTGTACCTAACTCACAGGTCCCTCTGACCAGTCCTGCCTGGGGATCCACACTTTTCCTTTCGGGATCTATTCCTGCCATGCACTCCAGACTTTGGGGTTAGAGCAAGGAGATACCCAAAATAAGCCAGTTTAGGCACATCTGTAACTTTCTTCATAAATTCACTGCTCCATGGCCAAATTCAGGAGATCAGGCAGCTGGTTCAAGTTTATGTTCTCCAGCAGGGAAGGGTTGCCTTCACCTCCCAGAACTTGTACATAAGAGCTTATAAACACAGAATTATACAGAACCTCAAACATTCAAGGCATTTTGAAGTCACTCTGCTGGTTGGAGAAGATGTTTCTCCTGCTACCACTCAACTGGGATTTACTGCTTGGAGAGCTCAGTATTGAGACCAGGAAAAACATTTTCTGGTGGAGGTGGCTGAAGAAAACCTGATCTTTGTGCAGGTTTGGACACTTCTCTGCTTGGTTCATCTTGACAGAGAGCTTGACAGCCAGTATCCCCAGCCCTCAGGAACAGGAAGGAGCTCCCTCTTTTCAAACACCTCAAGAATAAAGCCCACACAACCTGGTCACAGGTCCTTGGAATTTGGGATAAACCCAGGCAATCACAAAGACCATTTGGGCCAGGTGGAAATGCTCTCAGTAGGAGGTGCCCCCCTTGTGCTTTTTTCTGGCTGGTCTGTGTCCCAGCTGCTGTTACCCCAGCAGCTGTTTAGGTTCCTGAAGGGCCCCTGTGCACTTGAGCAAACACACAGAGTCAGTAACACAGAACCAGGGAATCACAGAACCACTGAGGCTGGAAAAGTCCCCTAAGATCAAAGAGTCCAACATTCCCCCAGCACCGCCACGTTCACCACTAACCCATGTCCAAAGTGCCATATCCACACATGTTTGAACATTCCCAGGAATGGTGACCCCACCAATGCCCTTGGCAGTTGTGGCAGGGCCTGACCACCTTTTCCATGAAAAATTTTTCCCCCAAATACAACCTGAAACTCCCCTGGCCCAGCCTGAGGCTGTTCCCTCTCCTGCTGTCCCTGTTTCCTGGGAGCAGAATCCAACCCCCCCAGGCTGTCCCCTCCTGTCAGGAGCTGTGCAGAGCCAGAAGCCTCCTCTTCTCCAGGCTGAGCCCCTTTCTCACCTCCCTCAGCTTCTCCTCATGACAGAGGACCCTCAACAGCTGGGACAGAGTTGGAAAGATGTGGCAGAACCACCCAGATGTGGTGCAGCCTCTCAGTGACCATGTGGGGCAGAAAACAACCCTGAAGGCTGCTGAGATTTCCCCCTCCCCAAATTATCATTCCCCCATGACATCTCCTTTAAAACTTAGACACTTTAAAATCTCTTTTATCGTCAGTGGGACAATTCATGAGGGTAAAATTCAATTACAGCAGATAAGAAGTGCAAAACCTTGTGGGACATCTCTGTGAGCCCCCCTACACTGCTCCCACTGCCCTCACCCCCTCCTCCATCCCTGTTATCCATTATTGCAGAGCAAACTGAGAGCATGGAACCCAGTGTAGCTGTTCTTGATGAGTTATTTCCTTTCCTCAAAGGCAGCTCTGGCACTGCTGGCAGGAGGAGAGCTGTGCTCCAAGTGCCATTTTCCCAAAGCCAGCCGGACACACAGAGCCAACGTGGAGATTGTGGAAAAGGATTCTGTTAATAAATATTAATCTGTGGCAGGGAAAGGCAAGACAAGAACCAGTCACTGGCAGTGCAGGCTAGGCAAGTTAAATCATAAACTATGCACAGCTTTAAACAATAAGGATGATTAAACATAGGAAAAACACAGGGAGAGCAGAGGCCTGTGGGAGGCACAAAGCAAAGCCTGGGTGCCTTCTAGGAGAGAAGTGTCAGTGAAATCCCAGACATGGAGATTCCTGCGGGAATGACAAAGCTCCAGTTCTGCCTTCTGCCCTATGAGCTAATGGGGATTTTTTGTATTCCAATAATCTAAGATTTGTGGAAGAGTGGAACCTTTAACTAAATCATCTCATGCTGGGGGAGGTTGCAGAAGTCTTCAGAAGACTTTTTATCCCCCAAATCTCATCTTCACATCAGAGTCCTGATCCCCACCAAAGCCAGATGGGGTCCCATCAGACCTTCGTGGAATTACTCTCCTCTTAGCCACAGCCAGCACAGAAACTTCTCAATCCCAGCTCAGCCACAGGACAGTTGGATCTGACACTCCTTGGATGTGTCTCCTCAGTGACAAACCACTGGCAGAACCTTCCTTTAGCCAGAGGACTTTGTAGAACAGAGCTGATGGCTACAAGGAGCTGGGTCAGCTTGGCCTGGCCTTTTCCTCTGCCATGCTACTGAAATTTATTTTCCCTGGAAATGTGCATTACTCACAAATTCAGGGGGAGCCACCTAGTTTGGTATTGCCATGGGGAGAAGGACAGATAAGCCCTAGAGCAGAGCCCACAGACCCAACCCCCAAGGAGGAGAAACCCCACAGACCCCACACAACCAGACTCCAAAGCCACCCTTGGGAGCAGCTGCAGCTGCTGTGCTGAGCCAGCCCCCACTGGGCTCAGGAGTGTTCTGCTGGCAGCAGTTTTCTGCCCACTGTCCCACCCCAGTGCACACCAGTTTGAGCCCACACTGGCCACCTTGCCCTGGGGGACACCAGATCTCCAAAGTGGCCACAAGACCTTGATCTGCTGGACTCCCAATCACCAACTCATTTATGGTTCCATCAATCCCTGGGATAGTGAGGGAGGGTGTGCTCCCCCCTCAAGGAACTCCAGTGGTGGGATACAACACCCCTGCCCTGCTGTGTGCATGAGGGCTCCATGTCCATATTCCCCATCCTACACACACCAGGACACGGTTCCTGTAGGTGGGGGAAGCTCTGGGCCCTGCTCCAGCTCCAGCTCAAACCACAGCTCCAAACACAGCAACAAACCTGGACCAGGCCCAAGAGCTGCCCAGCCCTGCTCTGGGACTGTCTGGGAGCAGAGGGAACAAAGCACTCAGGCACTTGTGGGGGGCTTTGGGAATCCCCCAGCTTGTGCTGCCTCTGAGGAGCATCTCTGGGAAATCCCAGGGGATGCAGGGAGTTGAAGTTGGATGAGGGTTTGGACAGGCAGAATCCATGCTTAACAGACCCACACAGCCTCTCTGTAGGAAAAACTAATTTTTCTCATCAGGGCTGCCCACCTGATCTTTGGGCAAGAACAGCAAAACCCAACACCTGAAAACTGAGCCTGACCCACTCCAACACCAACCAGGAGACAGCCCTGGGAACAAACAGCAACTTCTCACCCTTCTGGGATTCCATCCAGGAATGCACTGGGATGAATCAGCCCCAGCACCTTTGCTGGCCAACCAGCCCTGGTGGAAACGAGGGGAGGGGGGCCTGGGCCCGGCACTTGGAGGCAGCTCCTGGGAGTGGGATGTGACTCAGCTTCCCCAGGACACAGAAACCAAAGCTGCACATTTCCATGCAATTCCCATTCCCAGACATTCCCCAAAGTGTCTGGAGGAGGGGTTTAGCTTGTTGAGCAGAAACTGGCAATTTGGGAATGTGCTGCTTTTTTTTTCCCTTTCCCAGAGGTTTCACCTGGGCTCCTCTCCAAGCTGGATAATCCCCCTCTGCCTCACTTCCCTCCTGCCTGTGGATCCCTCTGCCCGCTTCCCTCTCCATCCACAGCCCCTCAGCTCATCTTGCTGTGTATTTTATTTTGTCAGGTCTGTCACTGTAACACCTTAAGCAATAAACCCTCTGGAGGTGGGAGGAGATTCCCATCTTCCACTTTGGTGGCAGAGGAAAGCTCTCCTTGCCCCAGCCCCCTCTCACCTGTTGGAATCTGTGTTGACAAAAACAGAGGAAGCAGGGATTTGTTCCTGGCACAGCCCACCTGCCCTTGCCCTGGAGATGCTCCATCCCCTCTGTTCCAGCAGCTCCCAGAGCAGGGATGGCTCCCAAGGAAGCACCACCTCCACACTCCCTTCAGCAGCCTGCAGCCACCCAGCTTCTCTTGCTAATCCAGCCCCAAACATGTCTCTGGACCATGGCAGCTCACCAGCACAGGATTCAGCCTCTCAATGCAGCTTGGAAGAGCTGCTGGACAAGGCACAGCTCCTGAAGGAGGTGTCGGAGCCTGGCCCAGCTCACCCAACACCCCCCTCCATGCTGCTCACTCCAGACTCAGCTGAATGCTCAGTCCCAGCTCCAGCACCCCAATGGCTCCCAAAGCCTCGGGATTTCCTCTCCCTGGTAGACTCAGTCAGGCCAGAGCTCTGTGGCTGCTGTTAAAAGCACCTCCAAGAGCCAGAAGGTTTTCCACAGAAGTTGTCACAACCCTCTGGGTTTGCAGCTTCCAGCTGGGGAATGCTGGGCTTTAGCTCCAGATCAGCTTTCTCCAGAGACAAGGATGGCAGAGAGAACCACTGGCCAAGCCTTGATCCAAAGAGGAGAGGTTCCAGTGGGACACCTGGCTGCAGGACTCAGCTGATTGTTTCTGTGGCACACAGCCAGTGCACAGAGGTGGAGCGGCCACCTGGACCCCAACACAGCCAAAGTGAAGGGGGCTGTGAAACACCCCCACCAACCAACACCAGGGACACTTCTCCCAACTCATCTCCTTCCTACCACTCCCATCAGGGTCCCAGAGACCCCACACTTCTCAGCCTGTAACTGGGAGATGTGTTGGGAGATCCAGAGGTGAGTCCTGAGCTGAGGTTTGTGTCCCGTGTGTGGGCACAGCCTCCTGCTCTGCACCTGCCCCGCGCTCAGGAAGAGCAGAGCCCCAGCCCCAGCCCACGGCAGGGCGGAGGAGGAGCACTGTCAGCTTTGCCATCCACAGGAGGGGGTGGTGGGAAATTCCAGCCGTTGGGGCACTTGCAGAGGAAGGATTTGCAAAACCAGACAGCTACTCCAGCTTTAGAGCCAGGGAAGAATTAGTTATAGTACACACTGAAACGTCCAAGTGCCTCAGGGATGTGGAGCAGAGCCGCACTCCCAGGGATCAGCTCCAGCCAAAAAGGAGTTGACTCTCCCAGCTCTGTATCTTGTCCTAAACCCTTCCAATCAGTGCAGGAGATCTTGGCACCACCTGCCTGAGGTGAGCCAGGAGAGAAGCAAAGTCCCCTCCACAAACCCCACCAAGGCAGCCCCATCACCAGCCCTGCCCCGGAGGCTCCCTCGCTGCGGGACTTTACCTCGGTTTGAGTGGCCCACGCTTGACGACACCGACGACTTTTGCTTCTGCCTCTTGACCGTCATCATAACCTGCTCCTGGACGCGCTGCTTGCCCGTGCCCTTGGTTTTCAGCTTGTGGTCCGAGGGCAGGGCCAGCGTGGAGCTGGCCTGGTCCTGGAAGCACTCGTAGGCCAGCGCCGTTTTCAGCGGGGAGTGGAGCATGGCTGGAGGCCGCGGGCGCGGGGCTGCACTCGGCTCGCACGGACAACACGGGGCCACCGAACACCGGCTCTGCTGGGCTTAGTCCCCCGAAGCCCTCCTTGCCATACGTCCCCTGGCCCAGGGTGTCTCACGGCTGCTGCTCGCAGCTCGGCTCCCCGGCGTGTGAGCAGTCACACCCTCTGCCAGACTGGATATACAGCCCTGCCCGCACACACCCACGCCTCCCGCCAGCCCCGGCACCCCCGGGCCGCTGAGGGCCTGCCCGGCCCCGGGCCTGCCCCAGCCCCAGCCCCTGCCCAGCCCCGGGGCCGCGGCCGTGCCGGTGCCAGGGCGGGGGGCTCCAGGGCTGGGCATGGGCACTGAGAGGGGTCGGGCTGAGGCTCTGTGGGTCTGGGTGGGAAACGGTGCTCCCCGGGGCTGGAGCATCTCCCACACGGCTCCTCTTGGGCTCCAGTGTTTCCCTCAGCCCCAACTGCATCAGCCCTAAGAGATGGCCCTGCCTGCCGGAGCAACGCTGCCCACAGCGCCCGTTCAGAGCCCAACTCTGCAAGCACAGGCTGCAAATCCACCCCTGCAAGCCCAGGAGTGCAGGATTCCTGCAGGATTCCTGCAGAACACCGGCCCCAGGGGTCAGGGAGGGCCCTGACAGGTCCCCTGGAGAGCCAGGGACATCCCCCCAGAGGGTGTCCCCTTGTCTGAGGGACAGGCCTGTGCGGAAATCAGGGCACTGTTGAGGCAATTTTTGCACACAGCTTGGGGTAGCAGGGAGGAAAAGAGGAAATTTAGCAAGAAGAGGAGATAAAATGGCTGTGCAAGAAATGACACGCCAGGCTATGAATGGCAGCAGAGAGTTCTCCCTCTGCCAAGCCACACTGCAGCAACTCGTTTGCAGAGAAGCGAGCACCTCGCTGCTGGTGTGACCAGTTTCAGGTCACAGCAAGTGCTGACAAAGCTCCTGCCAAGCCACAGGAGGCTGATACAGGAGAAGAGGAGCAGTCCCCATCAGGAGGGAGGCTGAGGAGAGGATGCCCAGGGTAGAGGCTTCCTGGGTGCTCCAGGATCAGGACCTGGGTGCTTGTGCCAACACTCAGAGGAGCAGAGCCCTTTGTGCTGCCAGATGGATCAGCTGGGGGAGAAAAGATGTGTGGAGTTTCCCTCCAGTGAGAATCAGCAGTGCCCGGGATCCGACCTGGTGCTTGCACTCCCATCCATCAGGTTTTGTGTTTTCCTGGTGGTTTGTGTCCACTTTTCATGTTTTGTAGGAACAAGAGCAGCATCAGAAAGCACAGAGCAGGCTCCTGGGAAAGATGAGCTTTGTGTAGTGTCCTTTTCCATGCTCCAGGATGCTCCTCCCATGAAACCCAGGAGTAGAAAGCTGGGTTTTGTCAATATAACACAGGAGTGGAGCAACTGGAGGGTATTTATTTGCCTTTGGTCCCTTCTCCCCACCTTCCCTGACACCTCACCAAGGGATGCAGAGGCTTTACCCTGCTCCATCACCCAACCAGCAGGACTTTTAGACCATGCCCAGGCAAGGCCAGCCTGGAGGAGGGTGGGCGCTGCCCAGGGCCGGGTGGGTGATGCCCCGTGGGATGAGTGGATGGGGTGAGTGGGTGCCCTCCTTTCCTGCTGCTCCCGAGCATTCCCCGGGTGGGGATCAGGCCGTGCTGTCCCAGTACAGGCAGGAGCAGCACAGCAGCTGTGCCCGGCTGTTGTTTTCCCCTGCCCCACTTGTTTCTCTTGCAAGCTCGATATCGATGCCAAGCGGTGTTTTCGCAAATCAATGACAGGCTGTCAGCGTCAGGTGGCTCCTGCACAACAAAGTGCCAGCTCTCGCAAACCTGTAATGTCACTTGGCCCGGGGCGAGGAACAGCCCTGTCCCTGTCCCCGCGGGAGAGCCGCGTGTTTATCGCATCCCGTCACTGCGCTCTGGCATCTCCCGGTTTCATAACTCGCCCGAATTGCTGAGCTGGGCTGCGGAGCTGCGGACAGGGAGCTCAGGGAGGCTTTCAGGAAACAATGGTTTCTTGGGGCGAGTTCGCACGGTTTAGCCCAAGGGAGGGAATCTCCCGGGATTCTGCAACAGATTCCAAATCCGTATGTAGAAGAGCAAAAGATGCTTAAACGAAGGTTTGCATGGTAGTTCTGTGCAAACTGCGTTCTGGTATCGGGCTGGGGTGTCCCTGAGCGGGGCACGGGAGCACCATCCCGGCCAGCCCAGCGCAGCCCCGGCACAGCAGCAGCAGCAGCAGAGCTGAGCTTTCATCCCGCAGCGCCCCGAGCAAATTCCCTGTCTGCCTTTGTGTCTGGAGCTCTCGGGCACAGCGGGCAGGGCTGAAGGGACGCAGAGCCGTGCCGGCTCGGGCTGCGATGGGCAGGGCTCGGAGGGTCGATGCAGGCGGTGCCACAGGACGCGGGGCTCGGGGGTCCCGGTTCTGCCCCACAGCGCTCGGCGAGGCCGTGACTCACCCTCCGCACCCACTGCGGGACCCGCCCTGTGCATCTGGGCTCTTCAAAGCATTTTTGTGAGAGTTCCTGGGATTCCTGCCAGCTGCCTGATCGCAATCAAAGCGCTCGCTGGCCCAATGCTGCTCCCAGAGAGGCGCAGGGTGCCTGTTCAAACTTGTCGGGCGCTCCTGAGCTGCAAGTGTCTGAGGCGCGCTCGGATTCTGCTGGGGGGAATCATTGTCCCCGGTCCTGGTGACAGAAGTCCCGCTGTTGGGGGTCACTTCAGCACCGGGGGTTGATCCTTCCTTCGGACAGGTGGTGGCCAGGAGGGGCAGAGGTGCAGATGCTGGGGATTCTCGTATTTCCCAGGATTATGCTGTTTTCAGAGCAGTGATTCATCCCCGCCCCAGCACAGCTGAGATTTCCAGAGCCTGGCAAAGTTCTGCAGGAGGGAACCTGCTCTTCAGACTTGCACACCTTGGTTTCACTCTGCCTGCCTTGAAAGTGTCTCTTTTATGGGACCAGAGAGCACCATAGGAAGGGGGCAGATGGAGAGCTCAGACCCAACAGAGTAACAGGACACAGCTGGAAGGGAACGTGGAGCTGCCATGGTGAGGAAAGCCAGGCTGAAGCCTGCTAAGACTTGTGGCAAGGTTGTTCTTGAGCAAAACCTCCCCTCCACTCCTTGCACACCTGTGGCACTGAGAGGTTTTTGCGGTGGTGCTGTGGGAGGACAAGAAGGCAACAGTACCAGACAGGTGATGGGCTGGCCCTTGGCAAAGCAGGGACACTTCTCCAGCCCCAGAGATCTCCTAGTGTGCATGGAAGCTTGGAAAGAAAGGAAATCCCTGATTTCTCTCCAAAACAAAAGGATGCATCAGGCACAGCAGCTGCATCCAGCCAGCTGAAAGCCTGGGCTGCATAAGGGAGAGAAATGACCCAGGAACATCACTGAGGTGTTCCCTGGCAGAAACGTGGAATGTGTGAGTTAGGAAGGGGCTGCCCCTCTGCCCAAAGCAGGGCTGAACCAAGGCAGGACCCAGCTGCTCCAGATGTTGTCCAGTCAGGTTTGATGGAGATTCCACAGCCTCTCAGGCCTCTCTCCCAGCATTTTACTGTCCTCACGGTGAATTGTTTTTCAGGTATCTAAAAGGAATTTCCCATGTCCCAGCTTGTTCCCGGTGCCTCTGCTCTCCCCATGCACCTCAGAAGGTGTGACTCCACCTTCACAGAATCCCAGAATGGATTGATTGACTTGGAACTGACCTCAAAGCTCATCCTGTTCCACCCCCTGCCACAGGCAGGGACACCTTCCACTATCCCAGGTTGCTCCAGGCCCCATCCAGCCTGGCCCTGGCCAGGGATGGGGCAGCAGAGCAGTTCCTAATGATTTTAATGGGGTTACCTGTGCATTCCAATGCCAGCAGCTGCAGTGTCTGTAAAGCTCCTTGGTGCCACAGAGGGAGGAGCCTCCTCTGCAGCCTTGGCAGCTTCCACTGCCCAGCAGGAGCCTTGAGTTGGCAGAAATGGCAAAAAACCCCCACAATTAAGTCCCCAAATCAGCTGTGTTTTGCTGTCAGACCCCTCAATTCCCCCCTCTCAAATTGGAGTTTGCAGTCCCCTGGAGTTGTGAGTTTGGAGTTTAAAATGGTTCTACTTGGCCAGTGTTGGTTGCATAACGTTCACTCCTGGTCTGTGTATGGAAGCCCTGAGTCCATGGAGTTGTTGGTTAATTTGCTTAAACCCCCATTTTTCCCTTCTCAGGGAAGACCTTTGGCGCCAGAGGAAACCAAACCCAGTGCTGAGTGAGGAGGTGACTCCAGCCTGGAGAAGGAAAGGTTCCCCAAAAGTTCCTCAGAGATTCCCTAGAGGTTTCCTTGTCCCTCTGGGGAAGGCCCAGAGTCCCATGGGGTGCTCTGGAAAAGGACAAGGGACACTGGGCAGCAGCTGCAACAGGGAAAATTCCAACTGCCCATAAGGAAAAAGCTTTTCCCATGGAGCTCTGCAGCCTTGGGATGGGATCTTACAAGGACTGCAGTCACTGGAGTTGGCCTTGCACTGAGCCCTGCTGTGAACATGGCCTGGGGCTCAGGACTTCCCAGAGTCCTTCCAGCCTTTCCTAATTTCCCTGACCTGAAGGGCACTGACAGTTCCCACACGTGGAGCTCTGGGTCCTGCAGGGGACACAGGAGAGGGAGATGTCCCCTGACAATGACAATTCTCCCTTGGCCTTGGCAGCCTGGAGCTGAGTGTGGCCCAAGCACCACCTGCTCTCCCTGCCCCAGGACAGGGCTGTGTGGGACATTCCTGCACAGATGACTTGATCATTCTTCTCCATTCCAAACAGAGATGAGTGGCAGGAGGGCAGGGATGCACTCTGGAGCATCAGCCTCCTCCTCTTCTCCTTGGCTTTTGTGCCCTGCTCAAACACCAGACCCTGCCTGAGGACCAAATGCCTTCTCTGCTCCTGGCTCCCCTTTGGATTTGCCATGGAGTGTCACCAGTTCCCTCTGCAGTGCCTGAGGCTGCTGGGATGTGGAGCAGGAGCTCA